AGTGACGCTAAAGCTCACAGAAAAGAAGGGGGCATCAAGAACAGCTAGGAGACCCGTGAAAACCAAGAGGACAGTCCCCAGATGAAGGCCAGGGCCGTGCACACACCTCGAGAGCTCCCCGGGGCCCAGTCCTGCCAGGCACCTCCACTTCGCCCAGGTGACCCTCACGGCAGCCCTGGCGGGAGCAGGAGCCCCCATGAGTGCCCTGTTTTCCAAAGGAGGAAGCTGAGGTCCAGAATGGGCGGAGCAAAGTCCCAAGGTCACACAGCTGCTAAGCAGCGGGTGCAGCCATGGGCCTTAACTGGTGACCCCATGCCATCCCCTGTGGAGCCTGTAAGATGTGTCCTTATCAGCAAGACACAATGTGCAAATAAGAACTGGAAGCCTCATAACCAGTGTGAGGGCGGCGGGACGTTTAACAAAAGAGGCTGAGAAAACCAGGTATGTATTTGGGAGGGGAGAAAAAGGCAATGAGATGAAATTTCCCCCTCACGGCAGACACCAACATCCATCTCCAGTGGGCCGTGCTTGACTACTCAACGACAGGTGGGCAGTTACCTCGGGCCAAAGCCCGGGCCTCCTTCTATAGGAGGATTACAGTCACTGAAAACCGTCAGGGGCCCAGTTTTACGGCAATACACATAAGGTCACCATGAGGTTCCCAGAACTATGAAAACCGAGAAACAACATCTACAAAATACATTCCAGGGCAGTGCGAGGGTTTGCCGCATTTAAAGAAGTTAAAAATAAAACCAGAATGATGTTTAGGTGCGTGTTTCTCTGACTTCGTGCTGGGAACAGTTTTCTAAGCTTAAACACAATGGCAGAAGCACAGAGGAAAAGGAAAAGTCAGTGAATGTCATACTTAAAAATTATCGTTTCTGTGTATCACAGCTGTCTGTCAGAGCTGGAAGGCGGACTTCCTCTTCTGGCCACGATGCGGGAACAGGTACTGGGCTTACCCTCCTTCCTGAAACAATAAAAAATAAGAACAAACAGACAAAAATGCATAAACACATGAAACAATGGTTTTTGAAGACCCCAGATATCAGGCTGCAGCAGTCCTGAGATGGGACGCAATCGAGTCAGGCCCCACAGCTGTCCATCTCGTTACTCAGGCCGTGCTGTGGGAAGGGGCTCCCAGCTGACTCCCTGTGTCGAGAAGTCAGAGCTGAGGGTCTGCTTGCGAAAGGTCACGGACACGTAAGCCTAGGGAACACGGCTCCGTTCTGCACGCGGGGGCCACCCTGAGTCGAAGGCAACATGAAGGCACTGGTGGCAGAAATAGGGAAGGTGTGATTCAGACAAGGGGTGCCCTCTTGGGGGAAGGGGCCGCATGGGACTGGGAGACCAAGGCAGCCAGAGCGGGCAGGACGCAGGACAGAGGCACAGGCTTAGGACAAGGGCACAGGCCAGCTTGTGTGTGTGAGGAAAGTACTTGAAGGAGCCAGGAAAAGAACCATCCCCAAAGGCTAGAGGGTCGTACGTGATGCTCACCAGGGTTGGGAACCCTGCCCGTTCCCACCAGCCAGCTGTGAACGCTCCTGATTCAGGGACGTTGGGTGGGGCACCCAGGAAGGTCGTGCCTCAGTTGTGGGAATAAGTAGCCCAGACTGAGTGCGGCCCCAGACCCACCTCACAGATCATAAAGGCATGATCTGGAAAGGGAAGCCGTTCCCAAGTAACTTAACAGCATCCCAGAACATAGCTCAAGAATGTTTATGGAAGTACAGACACATCCAGCACCTACCAAGGCACCATACACAACGTCTGGCAACCAGTCAAAACTTGGCAGGCAGGCAAAGGGGCAGAAACCACGGCCCATGGTGAGAAGCAAAGTCAATCGACTGAAACAAACAGGATGTAGTCAGAGCTGGAATGGACACGGGTCAAACCTACCCAACTGTACACCTTACACAGGTGCAGCTGACATCGACTATCGCCCCATAAAGCTGTCTGAGAACACCAAAGGGTAAATGAGAAACTGTCCGACAGACATAGGGCAACATGATCACTATACTAAGGAAAGCATCAGCATCCTAATAGGGAAAGGAAAGGAGCAACACACAACAGGCAACTCACACAGCCCAAAACCTAAGTGACCCACCAAAGCACAACCAGGGACAACCAAGGAAATGAACCTAGCAAGTGAAATGCAGAAAATCTAGGCACTAGGCTTCATCCACCGACTTCGCAGCAGTTAACGACGACAGCTCCAGGTCAGTCTTAGAAGGACTACAGCTGGGATGCTCCCTAGAAGTGAGGATGGGGGCAAAGCTCACTGACTTGGGACACGTCATCAGGAAAGACCAGTGGCTAGAAAATGCCATCACAGTTGATAGAGGGCCAGCGAACACGGGGGCACCTCCCTGAGACGGAGTGATGACCTCCATGAGGCCCTCCATGACATGCAGCCACTACGATGAACTCGAACGCACCACCAGTCACGAAGGCAGTGTGGGGCCGGCACCATTCTGAGTTCTGTTACGCACAAGATTGCTGTGGAGCCGACAGTTACAAACAACGACAGCAACAATGGGGCAACAACCATGTCTCTCATGGAGTGTTGCCTCTGTGCCAGACCCTGGCTAGGGATAGAGAGGCCTCGCCCCAGGAAACCAGGAATCCGGAAAGGAAGCTGGATGCTGGTGCCAAGCAGGTACCAGGGGCAACATGGGAAACTTGCCAAATGTCACATGTGCCCAGTAGCACATTCCCGCCCTACTGGCTAGGTCACGGATGGCAAACCCTCCAAGTGCGTGTCCAGGCACCTCAGACTCGTCCCACAGGCCAGGTGACATGGCTCCAGGGGTGGGGCTCACTCAGAGCCCTGAGCAGTGAGGCATCTGAGGCAGAAGGAGGTGTCTGCTGGGGTCTGGTGAGCAGCACTCCCAGGCTTTGGTCTCAGCCCAGGTGGCCTCCCTCTCTGGTCCTGACGGGGCCACATGCTTCTTCATCGAAGTGGCTGCCCCCCTGGCATCTTCCTGGAACCTGCAGGGCTTCTTCTCCCTCAGCTCAGAGCCTAGGAGCCAGGAGTCAGGATGTTGCCAGGGCGATGCCCGCTAGGGAAGCATCCTTTCTTGTCTCCTCAGCTGCTGGCCCCGGGCATCCTCAGCCTGTGGCTGCATTACTACAGTCTCGGTCCATGTCCCCTGTGTGTCTGCCTTCCCTCTTGAACAAGGACACCACTCAGGGGGGCTCAGGGCCTACCTACCCCAGCGAAACGGCAGGTGAACTGCTAACATCTTCAAAGACCGCATTCCCCAACAAGGGCACTCTGCAGGTCCAGGGGCTAGGACATCAGCATGTATGCTGGGACAGAGTGCACCCAGAGAGGCGCAGGGTGGGGTGCTTTTGATCACACGGACCTGGGTTGCAACCGGGCCTGCTGGCTGGCCAGCCGGCTTCCTGGCAGAGCCCCTTGGGTATGGCCCCGACATTCCCAGCCCCTTCTAGACTTCTCTGGCTCTGTGTAGCCTTGCAATGGTTTACATGCCAGGAGACAGGTATGTGTAAACGAGACAGGATGCACCAGCTGCTTCTGCCTTTGCCCATATTGAAGCTGAACCTTCACACATGCGACATTGTTGCGTTACCCTCAGGCCACTGGCCTGGACAATAAGCAGCACAATGATAAACGGAGAAAAGATCAAAGTTGTCAAAGATTTCATATGACTTGGATCCACAATCAACACCCATGGAAGCAGCAGTCAGGACATCAGACGACGTGCAGCACTGGGAGAATCTGCTGCAAAAGGACCTCTTTCAAGTGCTGAGGAGCAAGGATATCTCGTTGAGGACTAAGTGAGCCTGACACAAGCCATGGTATTTTCAATCGCCTCATATGCATGTGAGAGCTGGACAGTGAATAAGAAAGACTGAAGAAGAGTTGATGCTTTTGAGCTGTGGTGCTGGCGAAGAATGCTGAAAGTACCGTGGACTGCTAAAAGAACTAACAGGTCTATCCTGGAGGAAGTGCAGCCGGAATGCTCCTTGGAAGCGAGAATGGCCAGACTTCATCTCACCTACTTTGGTCATGTTGTCGGAAGGTCCTGTTCCCTGGAGAAGGATGTCAGGCTTGGTGAGGTGGAGGGTCGACTAAAGAGGCGAAGGCCCTCAACAAGATGGAGTGACACGGTGGCTGCAGCAGTGGGCCAGGTACAGCAGGGACTAGGAGGCTGGCGCGGGACCGGGCGGTGTTTGATTCTGCTGTCCACGAGGTCACTAAGAGTCGAAGCCCACTCGACAGCACCTGACAACAGGCGGCCGACACACAGCTGCGCACACTTTTATGGTCTGGTACAAATGGAAGTGAAAACTCAGGCCCAGCACCCCTGCAGTGTGCTTTCACAGAGCTGTTCTGAGTCGGGGACAGAGACCTATGGACATAAAGCAGAAAGAGGACATCTTCTCTGTCACCCACACCCCTGCAGCTCCTGCCCACCCTCTCCCCACCCCACCAGCCCCCTTCGGTCACCTTGGCAGCAGGGCCCCAGTGGTGGCAGGAACTGGTCTGCGGGCACCCTGTGTCTGCAGGGCCCATCGCCAGCGCCTTGGCCACACTCAGGCCCTCACTCCTGGCAGGAGAGCTGGGGAGCGGAGGGCCCCGGCTGCAACCACACCGGCCTCCCCCCCCGGGCAGGCAGCGCGCTGAGCCCCCACCTGCCCTGTCCCATCACCCCTGCCCACTTGATTTCCCTATCACCTTTGGGCAGGTGGGCCTCTGTTGGCTCAGGACATATTTCACTTGTGTGGGGGGCTCTGGCCTGTGTGACCCTGGGAAGGGCTGCTGCCCCAAGCCAGGATGTGAACTGCCTGGCTCTGGGTTTACCACTGTTCCTCTGGGCACAGAAGCAATTCCCAGCAAGCGTCTGTAGAATGAGGGGATTGAGTGCCAGGCATACATGGAAGGCAGGCACTCGTGGACCTTCTCCTGGCCCTGAGCCCCGAGGAGCTGGCCTCCCCCATACTCCTCTCGCAGCCTGAAGGCACTTCCCGAGATGCAGGCTGATCCTGCCCTTCCTGGGTAAGCCCTCCAGAGCCCCTGCTCTCTGAAAACACCCCAGCTCCCCAGCCCGGCCAGCTCAGCAGGGAGGCTGCCCCTGCAGGAGCCCTGCGGCCCAGCCCCTCCTCCTCGCCAGCGCCAGCCCTGCACAGGTGCCTGGTGGGGTCCAGGGAGGAGACCAGACCGAGCAAGTAAAAATGTATGTAACAACGAACAACTATTTCCTGACTACGTATAGGACATCCTTCAACTAAAAAGACATTCATTGTGTCTGAAAGTCCTATTTCACTGGACGCCCTGGGCGGCTGGCAGCCTTGGCCCCTGAGCTGGGCCGCTGACTCCAGGAAACAGGCAGGCGGCATGGACGGTGGGACTGCAGGCTGATGGAGGAGGGGGCGGAGGGGAAGAGAGAAGGGCCACACCGACTCTGGCCGTCCCAGGGCCGCCACGATCTCTCTGTGCCTCAGGGAGTGGCCCCAGTAAGTGGGCAGAGAGCCAGGGAAGCAGGGCCGAGTGCGAGGGGTCTGCACCACCGTGAGACCCCACCCGGCCCCTCCCACATCAAGAGCCTCAGCCCCCGGCTCAGACCCCTCTTTCCCTCCCTTCCCAGAGGCCCCGTCAGCCGCACAACCCGGAAGCCAACCTCGCCTACGCTCTCAAGGCTTCCTGCTTTAGAATCAGATGTGGCCAAGACCAGTCAGCACTTTTTAAGAAGCAAGAGGATGACCCCTGGTCCCCAGCCCAGGGGCCCTGGGAGCCCGGTGCTCTTTGACCCCTCCCGCTCCCCACCACCCAGCTTCTCTGGCCCCTGCCTGACGGGCCCCGCCACAGCCAGCCACATACAGTCGCACCCCCTCCAGTCGTACCCCTCCACACCTCCACCTCTCTTGCAGCCACCATCCCCTAACCCACTGGCTGGCAGCCTTGGCCTGGACACCCTGTTCTTCAAGCTGTCCCCCAGGGTCCCAGCTAGCCCCTGTCCAGTACTCAGCCTCAGTCAGTGCCTCCCTCCTCCATAAGTGGGGTCAAGACACCCCATGTCCAGTACACCGATGCCATGGGAACTGCTGGCCTCCCCTGGTCCCATCCCCTCACACTTGCACACCCAGGTCCCCTGAAAATCGTGTCACCTAGCTTCTCCCCCACCCCAAGTCTCCCTCTGTCCCCAGCACCAGGTCCTGCCTCCTGCTCTGTGATAGTGAAGGTTACGTGTCAGCTTGGCTGGGCCTGGTTCTGAGAGGCTGGGCAGCTGGATGTGGTGGTGATTCCCCATGGTGAGACTGGTCATCAGCCCCATGGTGGGATCTGCTGGAGCAGCTCATAGCTCCTTAGGGACGTGGGCTGCTCCCAGTGTATAAGAAGCAGCTTTGAGAAAGGTCCCTGAGCTGTTGGGTGCGCTTGGACCCTGCATGTGGCTGAGTCTTCATTCAGCAGCCTGCCGTGTTTCCTGCTGATCTTGGCACTGTCTCTCGACTTGAAACAGTGATCTGCCATGTTGTTTGATAATCTTGGGACTGTGCCATTTTATTTATCAATCTTGGGCTTGTTGACCTCAGCAGCCAGCAGCTGCCTGAGTGAAGAGAAGTCTCCAGCTTCAATGGGCCGGGAGCAAGAGGCAGAGCTGAAGCCCAAGGTCGAGGGGATCTCACCCAGTCCCTATAGCTGGCCCCTACAGTCTGAACTCAGACTTCTAGCCTCCTAAACTTTAAGAGCATAATCCCATTTATTCAAACCACCCATTTGTGGTATTTTCTGTAAGAGCAGCACAAGGTGGCCAAACATGTTCCGAACCCTTTAGGCCCCACGATGCCCCCCTTGGGGTCTCCTGCCCTGGCCCCTGTTCCCTGCCAGCTCTGGAATGGTGAGAAGACAAGCCAGTGTGATGGGAACTCAGGGCGCTGAGCAGTGGGCCACAGGTGGCAAGCAGAGATGCCCAGGAGGGGGTTCAGACCAGACTGGGCCCCCCCAGACAGGTCTGAGCTCAGAAGCCCGTGCCCACAGCCATTCTGGGAGCAGCTGGCACATCCACAGAGAATGCAGAAAAGGGTGCTGCCCCAACTGAGCCCTATGGGGTGAGGTCCCCTGGGTGAGGGGCCCCAACCTGGAGAGCAGGGGCTGCCAGTGGCCTCCAGGAGGAAGGTGTATGTGGCGAGGGGGGCCGAGCCAGCTGGGGCAACCCAGGCGAGTAAGGAGAGGGGACAGTGGGGTTCAGGAACCTGAAAGGAAAATGGCCAGGGCCAGGGTGGGGGGCTCTGCCCTGGGACACGGTGTCCCTCCCCAACCCCGTCTGCTGGGGACTCGAAGGGCAAGGTTTCTAGTTCCGGGGTCGTGTGATGGGCTGTGCGGGCCGTGGACGTGGGCCTCTGAGAAGTGGACGCCATGTGCATGGGTGTGGGGCAGGGCTGGGCGTGGGGGGGGGCCTTGAGGGGTG